GATGATTGAGATGAATGATTTTTTGAGTGTGTGTGTGTTGTGTTTTAGAGAAATGCTCAATTACTACCCTGCAGTACAGATATTCTATATTTATACTCCTGTATTCTTGTATATGAATAATGTTTTGTGGTTACTGTTGTTATTGTTTAACAGAATAAGCAATAAACATGTGCTACATGTAACTGATACTGATCTGTGTGACAATGTCTGTTAGCACTTAAGGTATAAATCAAAATATATGGAACAACTCTATTAGGTAAGATATGACATTTCATGCTGTGAACATCTACTTGTGTTTATCTGGGGTGATGGGGGAACTCTTACACAACAGCATGGGTTACAGGAACCTCTGATCACATACAGATGTCCTGTACTGCCACAGTTGTGGACAACTGAACCGGGCTCGCAGCCTCAGTGGAGGCCAGTTGACTTACAGCGGCTCCGATGACTAGAAAATCTTTAGTCTGAGGCTATGTCCAGAGGAAACAAAATGAACCTACGTTTGATTGTTTAATCTGTATAAAAATCCACCCATAAAGACAGCATTTAGCACTTTTAAAGCTGATTACATGCTTTACTATTTCTTTGCTCTGAGCAGACTCCAGGAAGTTACTGGTCCTATCATAGAAATAGTACCACAAGTATTTGAATTTCCAAGATGTCAGTATATTCCTTTAATGTTAAACATGGATATTACAGAACAACCAGTTTTACTGTATCAGACCCATTGCAACAGTAGTAATCAGAAGTATAAAGTTGTGAAATTACAACATTGTCTGAAAAAAAATCTGAAAATGATTTATCTCAATATTCCCCTGATTGCACAATAAGCTGCACAATAAAAGGTAGGCTATTGATAAGATGGGTACGGCTTCAACGTTCGTGGGTATGTGAAACAATTTGTTAAATACACTGTAGTTTTGTTTTTCCCCCCACTTTTTTCAGTCCTTTATACCCTCAACCTGTTACACACTGTACTTAGTATGAGAGCCTGATAGATCAGCTGTACAAACACCAGATTTTCTTTCAGCACAGGCACAGAGCGGAAAGCTCGAGGACTGTGGGGAAATATTCACTGTTTGAAAAAAGACTAGAATTGCAAACATATAATTACTTACCCCACATTTAAAGGATTTCTAAAAAAAAGTTTAAAATATTTGTTTTATACTATGTGTAAACATTGTAAAGAAATAATGGTGGAAATATTATCAGATTTTTAAATATCAATATCACAAGACTATTTTCCTCATAAGCGCTGTATCAGTAGTCGATAGCCTACTTAATACAGTGCTGAATAACCTAGTACCTAAGGTGTTCAAGGGTTATTTAGGAAATTCAGAAAGATGTGGAGACCAATGGGACAGATATTTTCATTTAAAAAATAAATTTAAAGATTTAGTTTTTAATATTTAAATGTAATCAGAGATGAATCAATTTAAATTAGTATTTCAGTACCTAAAGAATTAACGCTTTCCATTTGATCCGTGTATCCAGCCCGGTGAAGTGAGAATGTGTTGTTGTGTCATTATATCCAAGAATAATACTATTAACAGTCAGTTCCTGAAAAGTCCCACAAAGTGACCTTGAGAAAATATGCTTTCCTGCTGAGTATTTTTCTTTTCCTCTATCTTTCAGCTGTCCACTGAACACACACACACACACACACACACACACACACACACACACACACACACAACTGATTTTATGTCCTGCTGGCTGTTCAGCTGTTGCAGTGTTATCTCATGACTTTAGTTAGACTACCACCTGACAGAGTTCAGTGCAGCACTGTTTTTCTTTTTACTCTGTAACTCTGTCTTCCAATTCTTTCTCTTTTCTCCCTGTCTATACATGCTGTGACCATGATGCCTTTCAATTATGCTGCATCCTGTGATTTCAATATCTGTGCCTGAAGAGCTCTGGACTCCGGTCTTACAGGGCAGATCTGTATTACTGGGCAATAATATGATCATGTCCTGCGAGACACTGACATCTAGTGCCAAGTTTGGGTTTTGTATGCACTCCAGTTTGTTTTAGGGAATATTACTAAATACTGGCCTGTAAACAAAGCTACTGATTTACCATGTCAAATTTGTCAGACACAAAGCTTGGGTGCTCATTTAGATAATCAAACAAAAGACAGAAATGGTGGAGTGTTCATCATGCAGTTGTTTCCATCGTTTTCATTAACAGACCTTCACCTTCACTTTGACATCTGGACAGGGGGAGCCAGGCTCTTGCCCTCACTAGCATTCTGGCTAGCAGTTACCTAGCAACTAATGGTGTTGTAGCAAACTTGTGTCGAAGAATAGGTCGTGATACATTGATCTCAGTTTTTAAAGCTGTTCCTGTGTCCCATACACTGCACGTCCCAAGGAATTGAACAGGACACACCTTGTACATGAAAACTGGTCATTGTGAGTTTGTCAGTGCTGGCCTTATTGATTTAGCTCAAGATCATTGCTCCCAGTTAATGCTGGCTTTAGTCATTTAGCTCACGATCCTTGCTGTCATTCCTGTGTCTTATACTCTGCACAACCAAGGAACTCCAGGACACACCTTGTATTTAAACACTGGCCACCGTTACTCCAGGCCCAGGCAATGTTGGCCTTATTCACTTAGCTCAAGATCACTGCTGATCTTTGCCCTCACCGGGCCCTGATTTCAAGTTCAAAGCTAGCAGCTAATGGTATTATAGCAAACTTGTGTGGAAGAACTTGTTGTGATGCATTGATCTCAGTTTTTAAAGCTTTTCCTGTGTGCCATACACCACATGACCCAGGAATTACTTTATTTATTTGACAACAGAATACAGCTTGGCCCCATGATCCTTGCTGCCCTCATGCAGTTCACTCACCATCATTGATGTCATTCCTGTGTCCCATACAGTCTTTTTTTATGTAATAACAGAGTTAACCTTGTATTTGATGATGGAGGAGAGGAGATTCACACTGATTGGTGGGTGTGTGGTGTTGCCTCCATCCCAAAAAAACAGTTGGAGCAAGGGGTTGGTATGGTGAGAGTCTATCCTAGTTCATCACCACTATGCACCCCCAACCGGGCACGCACAGTGGGTACTCGACCTCAGTTACATTGCCCACAACCTCGCCAGGCCCCAATTTCAAGTTTAAAGCTAGCATAATGGTATTCACTAACAAAGACCACACCAACAGCTGTATGGAATAAGATAAGTATATTACACGTTATGAACGAATGTGGAATACAGTGGGAGGAAAAATGGTTAAGGGATGGAGGGGATGAGGAGAAGGGGTTGAGGGATGAGGGATGAGGGATGAGGGGGTATGGGAAGGATAGGTGAGGATTGATAGAAAGGAAGGAAGACTGATTAGGTAGGTGGATGGAGGGAGAAGTTCGGCGAAACGGTCAGATGGGAACAGAGTGGGTGCTGAGACGCTGAGTGGGGGAGCCGTCTCTTTAACTCTGCAAGAGCCCCAGTGGTTACTGATTTCAGTTTTTAAAGCTGTTTGTGTGTCCCATAGACCGCACAACCCAAGGAATTGCTTTCTTCATTGGACAACAGAATACAACTTGTTCATGAGCAGCTAATGTTATTGTGGCAGGCTTATGCTGGCGAATGCATCATCAGCCATACATCTCACTTTTTAAACCTATTCCTATGTCACATACACCACTTGACCTCAGGAATATATCAAGTGTGATTTTTTGTTAAAGATCTGATTGGTTGTCATCAAGAAAAAAAACTGGATAAAACCAACCATACGCTTTAAATAGACCACTATTTTACAAGACTTGTTTTGTTAATGAAAAAACATTAAATAAAATCAGGAAAATACAGAATAAACAAAGTTTTTTCTGTTTTTTTCCCCCCTTTTTTTACATTAACAAATCAAATCATTCCCATGGTACGCTGATTTTGAATTATGGAGCACAGCCTGCAAGTATGCTGCTACAAAACACTCACACTTAATAATAATAAGAATTTAATGTCACAGCATAACCATTCGTTTGCACAATGTAGTGTAAATATGCTGCAATGAGTAGTATTATGTGAGTATGAGTGTATTGTATCAATGGTGGATCAATAAAACAATATCATCATAATCAAAAGCAGACAGGATTGTAGACTGTACAATGGTTTTTCGACTAGCAGCAGAAAAACACAGTTTGTTTCTATAGCGTAAAATCCAATTTTGACCTTTAGTTTGCTAGATAGATGTTTAACGTAGATCTTAAAATTGGGTTTGGTATCCAGCGGGAGTCCCAAGTATTTATAACATTCAACAGTTTTAACACCCAGTCCTAGCAGTAGCAATAGCGGACTACCTCATTTGATCCTCTAGTGGCAAACTTTTCATTTGTGGCAATTGTAATTTGTAGACAAGTGGAATTGATATCAGAATCAGACATACTTTAATAATCCCGTGGGGAAATTACTTGTAGGGGGGGAGGAAAAGGGGGAGAAAGCAAGAGGAGAGGGGAGGAGAAAAAAGCAGCTCCCTAATCTAAGTAATTTCAGTAGAAGGCTAACTACTATTTGTAATAGCCAATAGTATAAGTGGCCTATTAGGTATTAGATGATGGTGGAGAAAGACAGTCAGTTCTCCGTATCCACCCAAACCACGGGAAATATCTTTCTTTTGTTAAATAGTTTGAGTAACTTGACACGGGATAAGGCTCAAACTTTTATTTCTGTTTGACTAAAACAGCAAAGAGGTGTGGAGCTCCTATTTCTGTTGATTACACACTCCACCTCCCCTGCTCTTCAACATCCAGTGTCACTAATGTATTATAAAAAACAATAAAAGCAACCTTTAAACCTTTAAAAAAAAAAAGTCCTACAGGCAACATTTTCCTCTCAGAAAATCTGCTCTCTGTTTTTTTAGCACTGTTAAATCTTTCCCTAAAATAAATAACCACGGTTTCATTTAGTCATATGACACGAATCACATGATATCCGGGCAAATAAAACCCTCCTCTCGTTTGTGATTGGAGCACGCGGTTCCACGCCTCGCTGTGATTGGTTGAGAGAGGGTGTGTTTACCATTAGTTATTTAATTAGTGTTTTAGGTTGCAGAGTCATGTGTTTTTATTCTAGTTTAGTGTGACTGCTTCATTTCCTGCGTCCCTGGCCTCACAGGAGTTCACAATGCGTTTGTACATTGCAGCGGTCCTTTTGTGGGCTGTTATAGGTAAGGGACAACTTTTAATTCGCCTCATCGTGTTTCAAGTTGGCTAGCCACATGCTACGACAGCAGCTAGCAGTAAGTGTTATTATATAGTCGTTTCATGATAGCTATCTTTCAGGTTGCTGAGGAAATACCTTCCGAAATAAGTGTTTATAACAGCTTTATAGTAGTGTTAAATGCATGGCTTTAAATACTAAGGAAAGTATGACTGCTTCTTTCTCCTGTACGTGCTAATGAATGCAGAGAATGTCACGCCAAACTTCAGGCAAAAATCTGTCGATTTAAAGTTGACTTGCTTGTCAGGATAGCCTTATACAGCCTAAAATATGGTTTATAACTGTGAGTGAAACTATAGAATCTACTCTTTAATTCGGTGTACACGTAATACACCTTGCAATACGGTATTGGCTAAATTACAACTATTTGTCATAAGCCCTGCAATGGTTCCCTAGCTTGGCAAAAAAAAAAAAAAAAAAAAACAATGTGAGGTATTATGAGCAGTGTGAAGGTCTGAAAGTTATGTGGAACCGTGTGAGCTGCTTAGTTGTTAAATTTCCTTATGACAGCATTGGCTAAATTACAACATTTTCTAGTAGATATTTGCCTTCACCTCATCTCTTTGTAAGTGATATGGACACAGTGTCATGCCCATGGGCAGCTATCAGTATTAATGGTTTTGGTCCTCATAAGAAATGGATACGGTCAGTAACCCTACTGAAAATTTTGTTTTTTGTAAAGCACCTTTCAGCATTCTTATGTTTGTTTCCAGCTACAGAGGGAAAAGCAGTCCCTTCCCTTCCAAATTTTGGGAACAACTATCATGTTAAAGGTAAGCAGTGCAACATCAGGTTCCACATTCGGGACTCTTTTTTTCCTCTGAATTTATGCTCATTACAGGAATGTTTCACATTTCTATTGCAGGAGTGATTTCTCTGCCCTATGCTGAAATCAAGGAACCGTTTGAGGCCTGGTTAGATCTAGCGGCAAAGTCCAGCCGAGTAGACTACTACCATGGTAAGAAACCACTTGACCTGTGGTTGATTCTTTTAAACCCAACTCTGTTTTTTCCCTGCTTGGTTGGATTGGTGATGTGAAACTGAAAACCTGTTGTGTCAGACCAGAGTGACCAGAGCAGAACATAAGCACTCAGTACAAAAACAAAGAAGTGAAAAACATTGAATAAGCACCTCTTGGGAACTTTTTTTTCTGTTGACTCATGTTACATACTCATGAGACTTTGGACCTTTTCTGTCTTGTTTAAGCTGATTTCAAGCCATCAATAAAGTGTAAAAATTTTATTTTCTTAGTTATAAATGATTTACCACTTATGAAGTGGAATCATGAATGGATAAGAAACTACATTTCTGGGAGCTATAAGCAAATATTTATTTGCGGACACCCACTTAACTTTATGTGGCTTTAAGCCAAGCCACCTTGTGACTGGAAAGTCAAAAGGTGACATGGTTACTTGATACAAAAAGCCATATCAGACCCAGTATCAGCAGACCACCAGCATCTTTACATTTGAGAAAGAAATCCATATAATATAACTTATATAAATAAACAGTATAATGCAAAACTATGGACTATGGTTCATTCTGAACATTAATTATTAGTTTGTTAATTATGTCTCATAATGTCTAACTTTCACATGTCTCATGACATGACAACAGGCCAGGTGTCGACCTACCAGCTGGGCACGGAGCAGCAGTGGGGCGTTGCCTATAAAATCACTCCTGAGACCACAGAGGTAGAGCAGAATGTGATGAAGTGTTTCCAGGTCAACGGAACGAAGGATGAAACAGTCACACCGCAGACGTCGCTGCCTGATGTGCAGGGTTTCCAGGTGTGTGTGCAGTATTTAAACACTTTTCTACTGTAAAATAATCAGAACCAGATCCCGGATTATGTAACAGTACAAAAAAAATTACTGAAAGAAAACCTTTTTCTGTTGCAACGTGTTCTGTGACCCATTAAAATGTAAGTGCAGACTGAACCTGAGTAGACAGATTCTAAGTGTAAGCATGTTTTGCTCTTTCGCACAAACCACACAATCTAGTGTAACACTACCTGACATGCAGACTGTTGAATTCCCATAAAGCGGCTGCAGGTCTTCCAGAGAGTCTGTTACTCTATAGTCTGTTGACTCTGGTTCACAGACTCACAGCCGTGCAGTGCATCAATGCAGAATCGTAGTGATGCTGAGGATCGGGAAAAACTGGGCGACATAAAAACAAAACAGTTATCAAACCAATAATCTAACCATAATTTGCTGCTGTTGAAAAATACTTAAAATGTTAATTCATTATAGTTCCTGAGGATGGAGTACTATGGCGGTTCCCTTTGTGAAGTTTGGCAGAATGTGACCACTGTGGGTTACAAGAAGAACACGTACACACTGTGGGTGACTCATTCAGAGAGAGGTGCAAATGGCAAAGAAGAGCCCGCCATACCCCTCCATTATGAGATGATGGGTTACAACACACTGCTGGGGTCACACTATGATAAATACTTGGTGGACTACAAAGAGTTCAGCACTCATGTGGACCCCAAAGTCTTCTCGCTGCCTGAAGGTTCGTGATCTACTGTAGCTGCATGCATCAGGACCGTTAAGAAAGATTTAATTGGGAAAATACAACTTTTATGTTTTGTCAATTTTCCCCCACAGGGATGAGCTGTGGTGGATTTCCTGGTCCGGGAGTGGAGCACCACATGTTGGCCAATCCAATGAAAGATCTCATCCACACCTCAGCTTCTGGCCACTCGGAGCGCATGTTCAACCATTTCAAGGAGAAGTTCCAGCGTCAGTACAGCGATGAAAGAGAACACGAGAAAAGACAACACGCTTTTGTTCATAATCTCCGGTGAGAGGAACATTTAAATACTTACATTAGTTGTGACACTGCAGCACTGTCAATATGAATGTTTTTGTGAAGGATATAGGCAGCGTCAACACAGCAGTCCAGCATGGACACATAAGAAGTTTAAACTGAAGAACATCTGATGACCGGAAGACTGTTTTCTCAATCACTGTAGGTATGTCCACTCCAAGAATAGAGCAGGACTGCCCTTCTCTCTGGCTCTGAACTCTCTGTCAGACCGCACCATGTCGGAGCTGGCCACCATGAGGGGAAGGAAACGAGGAAAGACACCAAACAGAGGGCTCCCCTTCCCCTCAAAGATTTACGAAGGGGTAAAAGTACCAGAGTCACTTGACTGGAGGCTTTACGGTAAGTTTATACAATCTAAAACAATGCATCGTCCTGGCAGGACATCCCAGATTTTACCTCAACTCTCCTCTTGCAGGTGCTGTGACTCCAGTGAAGGACCAAGCCATCTGCGGCTCCTGCTGGAGCTTTGCCACCACTGGAGCAGTAGAGGGCGCTCTCTTCTTAAAGGTGGAAAGGATAAAAAGCAGCTTGCAGCTTGCGCCACAGTCACTGGCCGCATTCCAGTGTTTTCAATTGATGGGGCTACTTCCATATGCTTTTTGAAGCCACAGATGTTAAGCATGCCAGTTCCTCTGTTCATGTTTCTGGTTGATTTACATATCAGTTTGGTGTTGATCTCTTATTGACATATTTCTAAATATTTAAGAAATGATAAGATGGAGCTTCATTGTAGGTGTAGGGGGGGATTACAGCACATTAAATAGAAACAAAGAATATAATGTTAAAAAGAAAACCAATAGAGAATTTAGAATTTAGAAAGTAAAAAGTGGCCAGTATAAAGTACATAGGAAAGTATAATTATTATAGACATTTGTGTTAAGATGGCCCTGTTTTAGCGGCATTAAAATCTCAATGTTGAGAAATGCATCATACAGTCAAACTGCATCTGATGCTTATTATTTAAGCTGTTCCGATAAGCTTGAGAAAGTCTTCCCCGTGAGTAAAAACAAACCCTCCCCTTCAGAGTAGGGGCGGGTCCACAAGACGGTTCATTGTGCCACTTTCACTCATGTTAGACAGGCAGACAATGTATGCGAAGAAATAAAGTGTCAGCTTTGGTCTGCCTCCATCCCGTGCAAGGCAAGGCTTTAAAGGAATTCCTTTTCCCGTGTTGCCAAGCAACTTCATCCAAACATTGGATGGTGTATTATGGGATTTGATAGAACCCCACTGAAGTGGCCAAATTCTTGATTCTGTACCTTGCTGTGGGCCTGTAGCTGTCTAATTGTTAAGCAGATAAAGAGGTAGTTGACACACTGCAGGGCAAAATGGAAAAACATTTGGGAGCAGGGTAGTGATTGTTGAAGAAAATATGCCCCCACTTGTACATTGTTAAAATTTTAACTAATCTTTTAGCCGTTAAAATGTCAAAAACGTTGACAATATCCCAGTAGGACTTGCTAAAACAATTTAGTTTCCAGAAAGTCCCTTGAGACTGAAATCTGTTTTCCGATGGAGACCTGGCCAAGAAAGCACACCAGTTCCAATTTAAATAGAAATAAAACACAATAATGAACAAAAAAAGTTTTGCTAAGATAAATAAAATATGACCACACACATAGAAGGTGTATGAAGTTGTTTGTGGATGAGTACAGCTCTTATTGTTTCAGCGTTTGATTGGGCCAGGAGGAAGTACTGTTGTGAAGCCCCAGCAGTTCGTCTGTGTGCCTTTGCCAGCACTCAGTGCAGCAGAAAGTGACCTCCGTGATGCGGCACACCCCCCGTCCCCATAGGCAGCTTCGAAAACAGAGTCATTCCCCAGGGGCCAATTTTAAATGTACTTCTTCGTGATCTCACAGCGTCTGCCTAGCAACCTGTAAATAACAGCTGTTGTAAAAATGTTCATTATAAACTATTCAATCTCAAACCATCTATTATGTTTTTTTGTGCTAGACCTTTTGTCTATTTTTTTGCCTTCTAAACCCTCATGACCTGTTTTCCTGTTTAAGTGTATTATTAAGCCATTTGTTTGTTTTATTTTGGTTTCTTTTCAGAGGTTTGTGCAGTGCCATAAGATACCAAAGCTGGTTAAACACTTTGTATTATATTTCAGAGAATGTGATTCATGCAGAGCAGGGCAGGTTACTAATCTGTGTGTGGAGTGTGATCATGTTTTGCTCTTGTCTTTCAGACGGGCTCCCTGCAGGTTCTGTCTCAGCAGATGCTGGTGGACTGTTCCTGGGGTTTCGGCAATAACGGCTGCGATGGAGGGGAGGAGTGGAGAGCGTACGAGTGGATCATGAAACATGGAGGCATCGCCACAACAGAAACCTACGGAGCCTATATGGGAATGGTGAGATAATTCCAAGACGTGATGCCTGTACACATAAACAACATGTATTTATAGTGCTTTCCTTTAAGGATGGCAGGCAACTGTGACAATGAAACACCCTCACACACGTGGTCCTCCATATTTAAGAGATAGTGAATGGTGCATTTTCAATTATTCTTTAAATACTATATATACTACTATAAATACTCAGACTGCAAGTTTTTCTCCTTGTCCTAGTTCTCCTACTTGGGGATAATTGCCAAAATAAATCATGGAAGGGAACACTTGATTGCATCTGACATCTGAATTGAGGCAGCAAAGCTCAGTTGGACATTTTGTAGACTACTAGAGTTACAAGTTCCTATGAAACACAATTCCATCTGTCTGCACATAATTGTATCTAAGATGTTTAAGGCACCTTAAGAAATGTTCCCACCAGTACAATGTGCCTAATATACAGAAATGAATGCCTTTGACAACTTTTAAACAAGCCTGAAATAACTGAAAACTGCATAAATAATCAGTTTTATTCAAAAGGTTTGCATCTGTGCTGGAGTCGGTTATAAATCTCTGTCCAGTACAGCACTTGTGTGCCCAGTCTCTGCTTTAACCTTGATAGCCATCAGTATCCAAGTCAGTTACCTTTCACACAAGGGGACACGTACTGTATGATGGTGACTTATATTTCCAGTCCTGTTGCGCTACAGGGTTCGGTATTACATTTCCTCTGTCCCTCTCTAAACAGAATGGATTTTGCCATCTGAACACATCCCAGCTTACTGCACATATCCAGAGCTACACCAACGTCACATCCGGAGATGCTGAGGCCCTTAAGCTGGCACTCTTTAAAAACGGACCAGCAGCTGTCAGTATTGATGCTTCACATCGATCATTTGTTTTCTACAGCCACGGTGTCTACTATGAACCAGCTTGTGGTAAGTTTACCTCTCATTGTTGCTAATGCTTTTACAGCAGCAATGGTCTGTCTCTTTCTGTGTCTATAACCCAGCATGCTTCTTGTGTTTTCCAGGTAACACCACTGATGATTTGGACCATGCTGTGCTTGCAGTGGGGTATGGCACCCTGAGTGGGGAGCCTTACTGGTTGATAAAGAACTCATGGTCCACCTACTGGGGCAATGACGGTTACATCCTCATGTCTATGAAGGATAACAACTGTGGCGTCACCACTGATGCTACATATGTTACACTGGCATAGATCTGCCAATTCCCTCTATATCTATATGTTAATGCCACTGGAGTGTGTGAGTGTCAGATGAATGACACCTAATGATGGATGTGTTGAGGTGTGATTATTATCACACTGAGTTGCTTGGTGATAATAAAGTGTTAAACATAGCTGTGGAATGGTATCAATGTGAATTGAGATGCTGCACAACTCACACACAAAAAAAGTCCACCTTTTTAAACATGGTTTTGACAGATTTATTGCTGGTGGCACATAGCAGCAGTGCCTTCAATTTAAGTTGTAAAAAGTACATTGTGTGACAAATTTTCACTTTATATTATTCTGTTCTACTTTATTTGTTGCACTCAAATGCACTGGGCTGGAATCAATGCAATAAAAAACTGGAAGGTTTTCCATTATTTGTCTTCTGTGTTATCCATGATCTAACACATTCACATGCTGTGGTCATCAGTAAGGCATGCTTTCTAAATTCAGGCAATGGGGATATCCCCTCCACATATACATTTTACACATTAAAAGCATACTGGTCTTTGCTATAGGAATAATAGATTTTAAAGAATCAAATTCCTTTTGCCTGAGTGACATAGCATATTACATAACCTGTCCTTCTAATACATGCCTTTTTATGTAGCACTTATCAATATACACAATAACAGCCAACACTTGTAAAATGTAAGAGATATTTCACAGATCCAAGTTATAGTGAGTCATTTTATATCTTGAGTATAATTCAATATAATAAAAAGAACAAACTTCTACAAACAACACGGGAATCAAACATATCTTCACATACTGATCACAGTTACAACTCATAGACAAAACTACAAATGAACTATATTAGTCCAACAAAAGTTTACATTAGACATGATAAAGTTGACTAGTACATGCAATCTCACTTGACTAGTTTTATTTTTCTTGGATTGAGAATGAGAACATAGAAAACGAGGCAGTTGCTTGTTCAATACAGCTTTAAGATACCATAACAAAGATACTCGACAAACAGTCCGCAGACATGTTTTATTATCCAAAAATATTATGTGCTTTTACTCAATCCATAAAATGTAATAAATCCTTCAGTCCTGAAAAATATCAAGTCCTAACAATAGCTGCTCAGCGGGGCTGTATGGACTGAAGTGTGAAGTCTAATTGGATTTTTCAAATCAGCACAGGTTTAACAATCTCTGAGCTGATGCCTGTAGATTTAAAAATTTATACAAATATGCAATCTGTGTCTGCAAAGTCTTTAGGGGATCTATTCTTTTATAGCTCTGCAGATTTGTCTTCCAGGCTCATTTATTCAGCGGCACCACATATGTAAAATATATCAAACCACGTCTCAAAACTGGAATGAAGGTGTAAACATCTGAGAAATGCACAAATTGCAAAGGACAACAATTTATTCCTGACATTACCTGCATCTGGTAGAACAGTAGGCTGTTGATTTTCCTTGGCAGCTTATATGAATGCCTGCTTTGTGCGTGTGTGCACCTGCAAGCTAGTTGGGTGGAAATGTGTTTGGCTTTCCTGCATAAAGCTCTGATCCTGACATGTAATTGCATAGAGGATGTTGTGTTGAGTACTGTATCAGGTAACAAGGTTGAGGCTATATAATATGTGAATAATGGAATGCGTGCATCCTTTTACACACACTTAGGCCTGGCTTGCTAGATGCCGTAGCTCCTGCTCCTCTGTGCTGCTGGCTGATTGGCTGATATCCTCAGGTATCTCAGGGTTCTCCTTGTTGGGAGGCGACCTGCAGGAGACAAAACACAAAGTACACACTGAAGTATTTGCAGAGGTTGAGTCTTCACATGGGAACAAACAGGGCATGGAGATTTTATATCCTGTTCAGGGTCATGGAGGCTGAATGCCAAGGACAGACCGACATCATGGTGAACAAAGAGCTCAAAAGAGACTGAGAATGTGCAAAAACTGTGATAAACTCCAACCTAAATGAAAACAATATCCACAAAGCAAAGTGATAACAGAGGTCACATTGTAGTACCTCATGTCCCAGTTCTCTGCATCCTCTACTGTGTCAGGAAGAGGTCTGTTGGCAGTTTCGGGCAGTGCTAGGGCCAGGACGGCACCCAGCAGCGGGGCGGTCCCGAAGATGACCAGAGGTGTAGTGGGGCTGTGGTTGTGAAGCATGTTTATTATTGGTGCTAACACACCGCCCACCCTCGCAAACATACAGGATACACCTATTCCTGTTTGCCTTTCAATGCACAAGAGAAAAAAATTGTTGCAGGTGTTACCCTCAGAGACTTTTAAAAATCATTTGTTTGCATAAGAAAAGTGAAAACTGTAAAGGCACTTCTTACCGAAGCACAGTGGGAAATATCTCTGCAGTGTAGACATAGATTACAGCAAAGGAAGCTGTTATACCAAACTTCCCTGCCATGGCAAGACCAGTCAGGACATTGGGATGATCTACAAACAGAGGGAGGGAAATTATCAATTTCATGAAATATATTTATGTATCAGTTAGTTAGTTAGTGTCTAAGGATAGCAGAAGGTTTACCTTCCTCTCAAAACACAACAAATACACAGCGTCCATCCTACCTGCAGGGACAGCGAGCATGAGCACACAAGCGATCCCTCCCACAGCGAGAAATCCACTTTGGGATAGCCGGCGACTCCAGGGCAGGACAAGCAGGACGAGAGAACGAGCCGGGATCTCAACCAACCCGAACACAAACTGGGTCAAGTAGAGGTTTGTCCCCAACCTGGACACGCCCAGTGACAGGCCGTAATACACCAGCACGTTCACAAACCTGGGGTTCAAAGGAGTAAATAGTAAAAAGAGAATAGTAAAAGAAACATGGAATTTGATTTGTTACTGAAAAAACCCTAAACAGCATAAGTGCATGCACACATACACACACAATTTACCAGATGTAGAACAAGATGATAGCCCTCTTCCTCATCTGAGGTGTTCGTACAAGATCCACTGCTGAAGGACTTTGCTTCCCTCCACCTAAAATCTTCTCAACCTGGACACATGTATACGAAACCCTTTAAAAAATAAGATTTCTACATTAACAATTAATTCTACTTACAAGAATCACATGTGTAGTCAAAGCCTGATATATTACTCATTCCTTTGTGCCATAGAGCTCCATTGTTGCCCAAAACTATTAAAAAAACATAGCTATTGCACTGAGTGACATGCTCCTTCAATGAACACACACATTAGTTTATTTTGAGACAATCCCACATTTATTGTCCTGCTGCCATAAATACTCAGCTAAAGCGTAAGTGTATTAAGCTACAGAATACTCCCCAACAAATTCACTATCTACTCCTGTTTCACTAAAACCTACAGCACCCACCTGTTTTAGGACATTAATTATAGATACAAGATGCAGAGAGATGAAGACTTCTTGAAAGCATTGTTTGTTTTGGTCTTTTATAGTTTGTTTTAAGATGTCATACTGCATGCAGCAGCCAAAAATACATTTGAAGCTTAGATAGCATCATAGTCTAAGGAGTAAAATGCCAAGAGACACACCTGTACAGCTGGAGGCAAGACCCGGCCATTAACAAGCGCTGCCTTACGGAGGAGTGCGATGGCCTCCTCCGTCCTATTGTTGGCCAACAACCATCTGGCAGACTGAGGAACCACCCTGACAGCAGAAAGAGAGAGCATACAGCAGAAAGGGAGAGAAGGGCGAGGAGAAAGGACAGGCAAGAAAGTGCCAGAAATTAGGGGAGAGAAGGAAAAGAGGATCACAAAGAGGGCATTCATGACCCTTGTCATAGAACTGTGTGCACAGTGGATCTAATGTTCACATGCCCATTGAATTTCCCACCATATATAGAAGATGAGCAGGAAGCCGGGGGCCGATATAGCCAGTTGCAGCTTTCTCCAGTCTCGTATCAGGTATGCTATGCCTGGCAGGAGCATGTAGCCAAGACCAAATGCGTAGTCTGTGGTGAGACCGGCGAGCATGCGCCTCTTGGTGCACGTCCACTCAGTGCCTTTTAAAAAACAGTGCAGGATTTGGAAAGAAAGGAGAGGAGGGATCGTGGGGTTAAACTAAGGTGGTGGTTTGGAGGTAGTGGAATGAGAGGCAAAGGTTTGTGTTCTGGGATTGGGCAAAAATATCACAAAAAGCATGAGACATTATTACATTTAAAGTATGGCATGTCTGAAAAAAAAGTGACAAATGGATGGATATCCGCTTTCCTTGACTGAACAATTGTGCCTGCTAGTATAATCTTTTTGTTATCCATTTTTTTCAGAATCTACAAGGAATTCAATCATCCTATCATATGTTTTCAATGACACTAGCATATGCTAGCACACATGCATGCAGCTTTGTGAGGCTAAACTAAGGCACAGCTATGCTTTGTCAGAAAGTAAAAATGCTAGCCATCCCTAGAGACACAAGCTAGGGCACTAGCATGTCTAAACACCATGTCCATCTCTAAATGTCAGCATTTTAGATAGTGAGAAAAACCTTGTTCAGCTCGGTGATGACACATTTTAACAGTCCAGTGTGTACATTTCAGGGGCATCTAGTGGTGAACTTGCAGATTGCAACTAACTGAACAACACTCGCATCTGTATATGACAACCTTGGAATGAGAATAGGCTGTTGTGTGTGGGAGAAACTACAGTGGCTACAGTCGCAAAAAACGTGATGTATGTAGGCCCAGCAAGTGTTTGGTTTGTCTATAGATAAAAACGTCTCATTCTAAGGTAACGAAAACACAATGATTCCTATATTCAGGAGATTAAACGTGATATAGATCCACCTAAATGTTACACACTGGACCTTTAATATTTTCAATGCCAAAGAAAAAAGCACAATAAGAAATTTATACACAGTAAAATTATCTAATAATTCAAGATCATTTCAGTTTATTAACGTTGTTGCAATCCTAAACTCTAAACCCATACCCAAAGCTCCCAGGAAACACAGCTCATATCTTAAAATTGAAAACTGACTACAGAAGAGCTGAAAGTAACTAGAAGGGCACCAAGTTAACATCTGACTATTAAATCTACAAGATATATCTGAAAATGCTCAGTAGAGAGACGGAGGTTGCCATGGACTCCATTAATCCAAACATCTCATCTAATCTTTTCTCAACAATAAATGTAAATATGATGTAATTTGTGCATTTTCTCAATTGGTAATGAATGCACTACTGCTACTATTACTACTGCAATGATCTCATGCCTCATCGTGCTTGTGTTTGAGTGCATATCTGCATTTTGTTAGTACCGAGTACAAAGGCATTGATGATGACTCCAGATATGGTGGTGCCGACTACAAAGCGAAGAATCACATAGACGGGGAAGTTGGGTGCAAAGGCCGCAGCGACTCCAAACACAGTCTGAAGAGCGATGGACAGCAGCAAGATGAAACGTCGGCCGTACCTTGCACAGAGAGAGAAGGCGTGGACATGAGTTTGCTCTTGAAGCCCATGCATAAATGAGGGAACCACTGTGACTGAGGGAAGGTGAGACCAGGCTATACAATGTGATGTATTAGTGTGTGAAAATGTGGGAGAAATGAGAAATGAGAGAAACAATAAATATTTCATAACACAAAAATGATTTTGAATTTTCAGAAAATGTTTGAAGCACAAACATCAACTATGAGTTCCAATCCAATTATAAAGAAACAGTATCTGTCAAAACCTAGTGTGTTACTTCAGCCCTTCAACTCAATCAGCATGCCCTACGTACATATGACTACCGTATTCTGTACCGTACTCCAACAGTGTCTTCCCCTTTGGCCATGAAAGCCTTTGATGCTTTGATCTAGTTGTGTATTGTATCTGTACAAAGTCAGAGGTTACTGGGCTCCAGGCTAAGAGGGAGCAGCAGAGCCTACCTGTCAGCCATGGCTCCAAACACTAGGGATCCCACCAACAAGCCAAACATGTAGACGGACGAACCAAGACTGTTCAGCCCAGCTTTGTCGCACACCAGGTCCCACTGGTTGAAGGATAAAACAAATAGAAAGGAGGGGGTGTTAGTGGAGCATAGTCATGGTTGCAAGAAACAAACCTTTTATTTCTCATTTGACAAACAGGAACGACTTGTGTGTCAGTGCTACTCAAAAATTAGTCCATGTTGATAATGTGTATGATGTGCTATGCTACCAAGGATGACTAACAGCTGAGCACTGCCCCCAGGCCACATGGACCCCCTGCTAACAGACATCATAAGGGCCTTAGGCTGGGTCCAGCTTTATTCCCTGAGGTGCCCTGTATCAAAATGTAGCTTTAAAGAAGTAATTTCTTGAGGTTTTTACTGGTTGCCTGGCAACATCATGGTGATGGCAAGACTTTAGGAAGTTACTGTTCCTGAATTATGGCATGTTACAGACCTATAAAGCTGCTGTAAGGTAGATTTTGTTACCTTTGGACAACCATGCAGCTACTTTTTGCCCCATGGCTCCCTACCAGTAATCTGGCTTTGTAAGGTACTTTTATCTGCCTTCACATCACCATACTGTGGGGACTCTGTGTAGTCTCTCTATTATGTAGAATGTGTAGTAGTAAAGATAACGGATTTACATCTACGGGATACATTCTCCCAGAATTGGATGCTTGTCAAGACTAATAGTAAACGAATGATACATTTTTTTTTTTTTTTACAGAGGAACAACTCCAAAATGAATTTGGAAAGTTGCACACTTTTAATCTGTGATTACACAGATCATATTTATCGCGCTCTTCAGGCTCCTGCTGTACCTCTGTGACTGTGGTACTCTGGAAAGTCTCCTTGCTGTACACCCATCCGTGGCCACATGGGACGCGCTCAGTCCGGTTGCCCTGCAGCAGGACGTCGGAAGAGAAGCAGGGGGAATCCGAGAGGCTGAAGTTCAGGCTGAGTGTACCGGGGAAGGAGGACTTATTCCCGGATACTGGGCTCGGGCTCTCCCGACAGTGAAACGGCGGCGTGGCTCCGCTGAAGACGCTCACCATCATGTGGAAGGCGAGGAGGATCTGGGGTAAACAAATCCATATGTACAAAATTTTCTGATATTTGCCGAAGCCTCCGATGGCAGAGAGGATCTGGTCGAAATTCATTTTGGGAAATATAGGTCAGTTTGGAGATTTGGCTCTCTTCCAGCGGTGCAGCCAGTGGGAAGGAGGCTGAAGGTTGAGAACACCCACCAGACAATAAATCAGTGGTGAGCTGTTGTTCAGGAGGTAAACAAGGAAAATCAAATATGTGTCAACATGGTCAGTCCAGCTTCAATCTACCAACATGAGCCATCTATAGCTGTCCTGAAAGGACCTGAAGAAAACATGAACTGATATCATCTTCTATCAGTTATCGCCTTCCTGCAGGAACCACACAGGTCGATGCTCCAGAATCAGATAGGTGCCCAAAAGGTCCAACATCATGTGGGAACCAGTCAAGTCAGCTTGATCCATTAAAAACTACATGCAGAACTGTCCTCGTTGAACCAATGGTTGACAGTATTAGAAAGTGAAAAAGTCATGCAGCCTAGAAAAGCTGTTTTCCACACGGTGCACAATCTGGAGAACCCCGCGCACGTTAATGGCAGCTGGGAGCGCATATGTTGTGATGTATCCTTTACTTGTAGGGCAGGGCCACAGCCTCATTACAAAATCCCACAAAAGACGCTCCAATGCAAGACTCACAACACCACTGACGCTCTGTGATCTTATAGGCGAATGCATTTATTATGTTTTTCTCCATGGTAATTATTTAAGCATCAATCGCACATGCTGCCATTCACCACAGTGACTTACAGTACTTCATTGTATATTAATGGCGAATACAACACAAACATCTCTGTATTTATTTGCAAAACAAAAACATGCCTGAAGTCCTCAGAGGCCCTCTGCTGCCATCTGCTGGGAGAACATTGAATTACAGACTCCCCTCCAACCTCAGTCTGCCACTGAGAGCCAGAGACACATCATGTCAGGGGCGGATGTAGAGAAATATTGTTGGGGTGGCCAGAGGGTGGCATGGAGACTTTAAGGGGTGGCAGAAATACGTGCATGATTTAATTGCAAACAATCAATATACATCAATACAATCAATAATACATATATCAATATTTTCTTGAAAACGCCCACTAATGATGATATTTTAATTTAAAAACATTATATTATTGTGACACATTAGTAAAGCATTGAATAGAAATATCGTAAAGATTGCCTTAGAAAATCAATACATTGTGTAATGATTTGACATTAACATTGACCTAATCTAAAAGGTGGCTATTAAACATCATTAAATACATTTCTGTTTTTTAACACATCATATTAAAGCTACTTCAGCTATTTATTTTTTACTTACTGCTGGGTAGCTTAACTTAAAAAAAAAATATGCATTCATAGTTGATTTATATTTCCAACACTTAATCTGCAATGTAAAAACTACTACTAACAAAAGCAATCAAATAGATGTAATGGAGTAGAATAATAAAGTAGCGTAAAATGGAAATATAGTAAATGACAAGTAGCTCTTAAGAGTTTTATTTTGTGTATTAAATATGTAATGTAATGTAATGTAAGGGTCAGTTGGGGTCAGTTGGGCAAGTTTGTATAAGAGATTTATAAAAATCCATAAAATAGGAACATACAGTAATATAAGAACTGTTTTGATCTAATTATCTATGATGGCTGAGTGCACAGGCCTACACCATCAATGTGCACTGATTGAAAACTTTGTACAGCTACAGTATGTAACCGTTATATTGGATGAATACCAGCCATGCAATAAAAACACTTAAACTTACTAAAAGGTCTGTCTTCTTAAGAGAGGCCAAATGCTAGTCACCTGATCTATAATGTATAGAGGTGTGTATTGGGTAGAATGGAGCTCTGGAGCACAGAGCTGATTTTGTTTTGAATCAGTAAGACCACTGATCACAGCAAACATCAAGCAGCAATAATGAAAGACCAAAGAATGACACAAGAAGAATGAAACTCACTTTGCAGAACAAATATCCTAGCTTTTTATTCCATGTGAGAGTTAGGCCTGTGTCTTTCCTCAGGCTTATACCTTCCTTTGTGAAACAAATAATGTAGCCAAGTACAACATTGTCAGGTCCAGAGCAGTGAGGGTGAGGAATGGCTGACTCAGTCATGTGAACAATGGCTCCTCTCTCCTCAGTGTAGCTGGTAAAGTGGGAGGCAATCACTGCAGGCTCATGGGAATTAGTTTAATTTTCTGTGTTCAATAAAAGAAAAAGCCTACTTCCATACAGTAGGGGGGTGGAATTATGTTTATGTATAATGACAATAACCCACCTTACTTTAGGAATAATGCCTGTATGTTCATATATAATGTAATAAGAAATTAAATTAAAAGGGAAATTGTTAAAGATTTAAATATCCAAATAGATGAATTTATTCACTTTCTATGTCTGTTCCTGTCCCCTGCCCGTTGTGGGTGCTCGTGACGTCAGTGATGCTCGGTCCTGGTTTGGGTTTCTGGATGACAGCAGGGAGAAAAACGGTCAGATCAGATAAAATTCTCCCGGATGTGGTTAGAAACAAAGCGTTGCTTTCAAATTAAAAGAACAAAACGTCTAAATTCTAAATCTGAATTATGTAAAAATAAAAAATAAAATGACCAATGAAATCTTGAGGTGTTTAACCTTATCAGTATGCATAATATACATTGAAATATCTTGTATCCTTTTCCAGTGTTTGTGACAATCCTACAATAAAGTATATTAACATCGGAAATTCAGGCCTTAATGGATATAAATACAAAACTGAGAGAACGAATAGCATATTTATTTTTTATTGTGTACTAATCTGTCAGGATAAAATCTCATCCTGGTTTTTGGGCTAAAATCTGTTTACTAATGGGGATTTTATTTTGAAGGGCTGTGACCAGAAGTCTGACTACTCTCGTCCTGGCTGTGTTCACAGTGGTGAGGGAGGCTCCAGAGAGAGTGAGAGACAGAAAAGAGAGACAGAGGGAGATGGCTGAAGGGAAGGAGGAGTGGACCGGGTCAAGAGCGACTTTGGAAACCAAACTAAGGTGACCTTGATCATCCAGTCCAGAGCTGTCAGCGCTGTGCAGAGAGTCCAGACCGGAGAACCATCACAGCGTCCCCGCCCGGCCTGCACCCACACTGTCTGACAGAGACGGTTTGTACCTGCTCATCCGAGGGGCATTCATCAATATCTGCCCGATCTGAGGATTATTTAACCGCCCCAGTGTCCCTTCTGGATTTTTGACAAAGAAAACCACATTGGATCATCCACTGCTGAGTGTGAGTATTGCTCTGTACAGCGGCTGCCTTCACAAATAAATGATTTTAATGGCGATGTCATGCATCATACGGTCAGCTGATCATGGTCTGGCACTTATTGTGTCACTGTAAGGACACGATTTATGAAACCCCAGATCCGCAACCGTGACGCGACCTGCTGATGTAGATGAAGCCACACCCACAGACAGCATTCAAATAACATTGTTTATGCCACATGCATGAATGATCCCTGGCCTATTTACTGAGGATACTGCCAGCAGCACACTCAGCAGCAGCAGGCATTCACTGCAGGACTGTAGTAACGTGTTTGACTGTAGCACATCCAATGAGCTTTGCACAAGTGCTTTCTAAGACATATCATTTTACTGTTACTGCTCTTCTTTTACATTATTTAAAAGAGCAACCGCCTTGATCTCCCCTCAGTGTTACATTCCCAACTATAATCCAGTCATTCTTTTCTAATCATCACAAGATATCTCGAAATCCTTCAGGTGTGGTCTAATCCATGTCTAATTTGGGGATATCAAACACAGACATATTGCTTTAAATAACTAGCTTTTACTTCATTTCATTCATTCATTCATCCAGTTTCGAAGACCTGAGGAGTTTTTTTGACAAGTTGACATGCTGGAGTTGGTTGGGAACAGTGCATGGCTTTTAATCCCAAAATCTGCATGTGCATGTTGGCAGAAATTATATCTCATCCACACAGATTATGCAATGCTGGATCTACCCACTGAAAAAAGTTTTACAGGCCAGATACATTTCCACCTAAACACTCTTCCAACCGAGAGTGAATACAGCATTCAAACTGCCGCAATGGGAAAGACGTCCCAAGGTTGTAGTGCAGAGGACGGATCATGTGCTGGAGCGTCCGTTCACCTTTATCTATTGGTGCGGTCATGCATGTGCTTGTCACCTACAGAAACATTGAGTTTCAGATGCACTCATCCATCACCAGCTGTTTGTTATGTCATGCAAGTACAGAGACAACCACCTATTCATGCAGCTAGCTTTAGGGGACAGCCAGACACTTGTGCGCGCACACACACACACACACACACACACACACACACACACACACACACACACACACACATACACCTCTTTTCTGTTCCTATTTATATTCTGCTCTGCTTGCTGTTTGATCTGACACACAGGTGAATTTCGTGATCCAGATCTGTGGTGTGTTTACTGACTGTAGGCTGCTGCACATCTGCAGTGACACACCGAGCTGCAGAATAAAGACAGAGATCTGCAAGATCGCTGTGCATGAACACTGCTGCTGCTATTTAGTTCAGACATGGGACCAGCGATCAAACTCTGGTCTTACTAGGCCACTTCAGTAGTCTGTGCTGTGAGGAAGGCCCCCATGGGTGACTGGAGATGTGGGTTGCAGTTTGTCTTTTAACTTTAATACCCACGTTGGTATGCATTCTAAAGTGGCCTTAAACACCAAATCCCTCGCATCTCAAGAGCCACTGCTCTGTATTTTTACCTTCCGTCTGAACTTCCACGAAGTGAGAACAAGAAAAAGGAATTTCCTGTACATGGATCAATTAAGTAGCACACTCTCATTATGACATGCTGTTATCAAGAGCTGCTCTTAACCTCCGCCTGCCTTCTTATTCGTTTCCCAACAGATAAAAAGTGGAGTCTGCAGTGGACAGGATGTGATTTATGCAGCTTGCTGGCAGACAGCACAGTGCAGACTCAGCAGTAGCACTTAAAGTTAAAGACTCTGTAGGGAAAGAGCGAGGTGCATTGATTAGTGTGGACTTTGGGTTACACCATCACAAGTATGCTTACTACATTAATGTCCCTGCTTTTCCCCATCCCTCCCTCCTCCCTGCTCTCCAGGTGGCTGTATTTCCTCTCTGGCAGGTGACAGGTGACGACCTGCTAACCCAGTTGGAGCTCCAGCTCCAGAAGCCCATGGCCCCTTTTTCTCTCCACCAGTGAGAGGTGAGCCAAGCTGGCCTCCCCGGCCCCCTCCCTGGCTCCGGCCCCAGACCTGGACCCGGACCCGGACCCCGAGCCGGACCCTGAGCCGGACCAGCAGCACACCCACGAGGAGCAGTATGTGAGCGAGGGCGACTGCAGCCAGCTCGACACATCCACGGCGCCACCAGACTGCAGGGACGCCGAGACCATCACAGGTGCTTGAGTGTGCAAGCTGGGGTCAGCTTTTTAGGAATTAAGGAATACATAGCTTTGATTTCATCCAAATCTCCAAACATGCCTACATAGTTTGTACATGACAACAGCGATATGTAACATGTTCTAGCAAGTGTTATATGCTGCGCTTGCTAGAAGTTATAATGCTATAATGTAGCATGTGTTTAGTTTTTTGTTCTTTCTTATTATTTATGTTATAAAGTGATGGTTTTTAAAGACCTAGTGTCCCAAATAGCCTCATTTTATAAACTCTAATCAAGAAAAGATGATATACAGTTTTAGTAGCTATTGTTTAAAGAAGAAGAAGACCCATGCAAGAGCCATGCATCCAGAGGTAAAGTAGCAATACCCCAGTGTAATGTATTCGCAACAGAATGTACTTCAGGCATCAAAAGTACTTGTTACACAGGAAATTGCCCCATGTGAGGGATATGTTATTATAAATTGTTGTTTGTAACTACTGTCACTACTTTATATATTATTGGGTATTCAAATTATAGAGTTATCATAGCTTTAACATGCTCAGTACAAAAGCAAATAGTACCTAAAACTGTAAAAATAAATATAGATATGTAAAAAAATACAATGTTTGTTCTCTGAATGTGATGTAGTAGAAGTATACTGTAACATACAATGAAAAGTCCTTTAAAACTGTACTTAAGGACAGCACTTGAGTAAAAGCACTTAGTTACATTCACCACTTCTTATATCTATCACATGTTCAACATACATACACATATATACAAGCTTGTTTAAAAAGTATTAGTTAATATAATAATATGTTCTAAATTGTTAGACTGAGACTGGCTCCATGTGACCGGCACACACTGACATCCTGCAGTCCACCACCAGGTTGCAGTATATTCACTTTCACTGTCCTCTCTGTGGCGTTCAGATGTGTGCAACAGCACTGACCTGCCGGAGTTTGAGATCATCAGTCTTCTAGAGGAGCAGTTGCCAGTGTACCGGTTGCGGGCTGACACCGTCTACGGCTACGACCACGATGACTGGCTGCACACTCCCCTCGTCGCACCGGACACCAGGTTCGACCTGACCACCGAGCAGATCGAAGAGACACTCAAATACTTCTGTAAGTCTGGCCAGAGCGTGGTCAACAGCAATGACATGATTATACATACAGGGTCTGTTTCCTGTGCTGCTGATGCTGAAGCGTGAAGGAACCTTTTAGCTATGTTGTTTCAAATTCAGACAGTGGAAATGTGGTGAAGAAATTGTTGAGGAGGGACACTGGAGAATAAAGTAGTGGGGTTTTATATCTGGGACTGGTGTCTGGGACTTTAGAAGTGAAGGATTTACCCACCTGCAGGGTACATGCTTCATTTAATCCTTCAAAGGGTTCACAGAAAGATAATCTACCGTAGTTTCTGTGAATCTCATGAGAGGTTGAAATAGAGACTCTTCTACTGAATGCTGGCATTTCATTTCATTTTTGTTGAGGAAGATGACAAACTGAGCATATTTTAATCACATATAGTACATCATAAAACATAACAATTTCACAGATTTTCTTTTCTACATTTCCTATGTATTAAAACCATTCTCCATTTAGTACATTAGGGAAACATTTGCATTATTTTGTAATATGTAGCAATATTATACAGCATATTGCTTGCCATCATAGCTTGTATGGGGTTCCTCTCGAGTTTTCACCCTCTATTAGACACACACTTCTTTTTTTATGTTTAATTCTAGTATTTTCTGGAGCAAGGAGTAGTAATTTTAAAAAAAAATGTTGTTTAAGTGTCTCTAAAAGGAGGCTTTTAAGAGGTACTGTAAACAATTGAACGATGGTATAAAATCCTATCTTTGCCGTTAATGTTTCTCTTAATTCTTCAATTAATTATAGTCAATATCAAATGGTCACCTGATATATAAATAATTTAATACCTTTCTGACACTGTATTTGTCCTAGAGACCTCAGAGAGGTCACAATAAAAAGTCAACATTGAATGAACAATTCTTTTCCGCAGTCATCAATTAAAGAGATAATGACTCTGCTAGTTGGCCCAGGAAGATCAATACATCGCCAGTAACAAAGGTCATTCCTGCTCTCCTCCAGCCAAGTCACCACTCTGCCTAATACACTCAGAGGCTATGTGAACAGAGAGTAGAGGCTTGAGGAGAGAGTAGAGTGTCTGCCAAGGCTCATATAAACAGGAAATCTTTTTTTTTTTCATAACTGAGCTGAAGCCATCAAAAGCCATTTGTATAGCTGCTGTTTTTCTCTGTTGTATGTATGTGACAGATAAATCCTGTCCAGATGAATAACATTCATTAAGATTTTTTTTAACCACCTAATACAATATCTGTGTGTTCTAATCAAGAGATTTATCACTATTATCTACAGTCTAGTTTGTCCTTTCCCTGTTTTAATAGAACTCAGCTAGTCGTCCTCCATGAGGTGGTGCACACGTCCCCGCTGCTTACAGTTTTAGAGTTACTTTACTCGTTCACTGAATATTTCCCTCCATGTGCCCGGACTGCTGTGTGGTTTTAATCTAAACATATTGATGCATTTACCTCTTCTACAATACTATCATTAGCCAGTTTCAGAGAGTTAAGGAGACTTTCTATTTGTTCAGTATAGTAAAGTTCAGTGTATCTCCTCTAACTTAGAACTAACTGGTTTTATTTCTCATTTTATAGATAGTATTGCTAGCATGCTGCTTCTTTAGTTTGTATGCTAACATCTTCATAGATGTGTCTCTTGCATTTACTTTGTTTGCACCATGATCCAAGGTAAAGAGTTTTTGTGTATGTCTCTGCGTGTGTCAGGGGTTTGTTTGTGGACTAGGGTTGCCATGGTAACAGTTGCCGGAAGCAGAAAGATGTTCAGCGGGCTCGCACATAGCAATAGAGGGAGAAAGCGAGTGGATGAAAGAAAGGTGAAAAGGAGAGAGATGTGAGAGTTCTGTCAGTGCTTACAAAGTCCACTCTTCAGCCTCCCAGTACCGATTGACTCTTTCTTCCACTGTGCATACTCTGAATCACTATACAACTTCCACTTCCGTTTCACCTCCAACTCAGCTGTAGAGCTTTTCCAAAACGCACTCTCTCCCATCTCTCTGCCTCCCTCGCACTCACTCACAGGGGCGTCTGTGTGGGCGGGCGGTAATTCAGTCTCTGGGCCTGTTGTGCAGTAGCTGAGCAGTAGGAGCGAGAGAGGGAAAGTGAATGGATCAGTGTTTGGACCGGTTGTCGTTTCTGCTCATCGGTCATTGTGGAGCTCAGGGAAGAGATGGACAGCGAGAGCGGGATGCAGAGATTAGCGAGTGATGAATGTGAGCTGGATGGCTGGTATTATAAGGAGGACAAGAAAGGTAGAGTGCATGTCTATACTACCTTCGAGAAAGTTGTGATTTAATATGTGATTCCGTCTAATGGTGGCATTTCTTTCTTCCCAGCACTTTGACTAGGTTTTTGTGCAAGCTGACCTTTCTAGCTTGAGATTTCCCTGGAACAGTTTGTTTAATGGCTGCAACAGATTGTAAAGTTGTGTTTTCATCCGTTCAGGATTTCTAGCAACAACCTAGCAGCCTTTCCTGGTTGTCTCTGGCTTTGTTCCTCCCATTAAGCGGAATTTCCTCAAGCTTGCTGACTTTGAATTTGCTCTGATTTGACATATCAGCCCTCAAGCGCACACGCGTGCACACACAAATCCCCACAGTCCACTGATGTGCCTATGAGAGCCAGAGTCTGAACAATGTTTGCTATGTTTATTTTCAAAGAAGAAACTCAAAAGTGCTTTAATGAAACAGCAGTTAAATTATTGTGTGCTGGTTGTAATACTAACTGGATTACCAAGGTTTAACATGACGTATTCAATAACTTTGTATAGCATGTTATTGATTAGAGCTCTGCAGTCAATAAGAGCTTTCACCTCAGGGCAACGCGGCTGACCGCTGTGTGCCATGGAAAACAACTCCTCTCTCCTCTTTCATACAATAACATTATATCAATAATGTGTTACATTCTAAACATGAACCATCCACCACCTCTGAGAGGACGACTTTGTAAACTTTCTATGTTACATAATGTAGTGTGCGTGCCACTGTACATGTTCGTGTATCACACCACAAGTGATGAGAGGTCATACACACTGCTTTCGTCCAATAAAGGAGGTCTGACTCTGATTGTTTAATCTTTGTTGTGTGTTTTATATTTCCGCAGTGCTATGTGCAGACAGAGTGGGCCAGATGACGAAGACCTACAATGACATCGATGCTGTCACACGTCTGTTGGAGGAGGTGAGATGGTCTATTTTTGTCTGCTCTATCAGTGTAATTCAAAGCTGCACTAGAAAGGATTTTTAATTAGACTAAAAGCACAAAGTGAGGCTGCAACAGAGAGGATGCTGTGCTGTAAATGTTTGCCCTATTTGCACGAATGAAATCTGTCTGAATATGAATAGTTGTGAAAAAACAGAAAGTGATCAAATAAGCAGTGAAATTCAGAAAGCAGTGGGTGAATTCTGCCTCTAAATATACCCACAGTGGCTGAACCTCCACCCCCACAGGACGCCAATAAGCACAAATGTAGTATACCAGTGTTGTGTTATGGGATTTTTAGGGTGTTGATGCTAAACTTATCATTTATCTCTTCTCCTCTCTTCCTGTGTTCCAACCATTAGAAAGAGAGAGATTTGGAGTTGGCTGCAAGAATCGGCCAATCACTTCTTAAGAAGAACAGAATTTTGACTGAGCAGAATGACTATCTGGAGGAACGAGTGGTACAAATCACAGAAGAGGTCTGCTTACACACACATTCATTAATCGGGCGCTAACTCATAAACTGATTCATGCAGTTAATTTACAATTTGAAAAACTTACTACTGTTTTTGTAGGTTTTTGTGCTTTTTAGCAGATGGGGTTTGCTTAAAAACATCCATTATGTCAACAGTTGATGAAGAGCATTGTGATATGGTTGAAGACTCTGAGCTAGTAAAGAAGTGGACCTTCAATTCGGGTGTTTCTTTTGTCAAAGTACTATTTCCAAGTTATCATGTTCCGCACTTTTGCAGAAAGTGATCTCACACAATAATATATATATATATATATATATATATATATATATATATATTTAAAGGGTCCAGCTGCAGCCCATCTGACCTCCCTCCTCAGATCTCTCTTCTCAGGCCCCTCTCCTGCAGTTTTTATTACCCCCCTGCTGATTGGAGAATGTATTGTATTTTATTTAAATTGCCAGATCATAGTACACAAAACATGATTGTATGAAATATATTATATGACTGTACACCTGTCCTCCTAAAATCCTTTCATTTTACTTTAATCAATACACACTCATCTGTGTTTAATATCTACGCTAAACATTTACTGAAGTTAAATTGTGCTCAGCAAGACTCATTCAACGCTCATAACATTCTGATAATGTGGGAAACAAACCGTATTCACATGCGTAATAGTGTCAGATTCCTCATTGGATGCTAGCTGCTCTACTTAGCTATATTTATCCACACATATAAAGTAACTTCAAGAAAGGTGTGCCGACAGTGCAGTAGTGAGGAGTCAGCAACCTCAAATTTGTTCATTTGGATGGACTTCTGTGAAAGTTTATGTAACCTGCTTCACACAATGAACCCTACTACTCATGCTCAAACCCCATTAGCTCATAGAACAAGGGCCTTCAGAAGGGAGGACTGCAGGACCCTTCTCATTTATATAGAGACGTACACAAGCAGTTAACTTTATATGTCCTCTTCCAGGTGGCCCAGCTCCACCATGAGCTGAACCTGAAGGATGAGCTGCTGCAGTTTTACACCAACGCAGCTGAGGAGAGCGAGGATGAGTCCAGCAGCTCCCCAACGTTAGCATCCTTTCTTTGTTCATCAGTATTTCCCTTTCTATCCATAACATGGATTTGAGATGCCAAGTCGCAAAAGCAAGCAGAAATGCTAAACACATAACATGCCATTTGATTCCTTTAAACTAGTACACTGACCTTTTGGCTATGAGTTTCAGGCTCACTCTGTGTTTATGTGTCCAAAGGGGAAAGAAAAGTAAATTGGAAACAGCTTCGGGAGCATTTGTGAGCGACACACTCCAGAGGAAACTCAAAGATCTGGAAGAAGAGAACCTGTCGCTCCGCTCAGAGGTATCTCCTCACAGTGTAACAACAACACGCACAAGCAATGTGACAAACTGAAATTGCTGGGGATATATTGTATATATTGTATTGTAATCGTGGATGTCTACATGCAGGCTAACCATCTAAAGTCAGAGACTGAAACATATGAGGAAAAGGAGCAGCAGCTTGTCAATGACTGTGTGAAAGAACTCAGTAAGTATTCTGTCTTTTATACTGTTTCTCTGTGTTTGTCTAAAACTTTCTGACTGAAATAGATTTTTAACACTCTTGTTTCTTCTGTATTCCCTTTAACTTTGTCCTCTATTTCATGCCGTGCTGGATTATTTGGACACATCTTTCCCTCTCTCAGACTGAAATAAACTTTCTGCCCTCTCAGGGTTGTCCAGTCTCCAAATCTCTGCCATAGCAGAGGAATTGGCTCGTAAGACTGAGGATGCTTCCCGACAGCAGGAAGAGATCACACACCTCCTCTCTCAGATAGTAGATCTGCAAAAGAAAGCCAAATCTGTGAGCACACATGGATAGACATGAACCCATTTTAACTCAGTAGTTAAAGACATTATTATGATCTGTTTGCTTTGCTAATTCAAACAAGTGTGTTTTTAGTATGCGGTGGAGAATGAAGAGCTTTCTCAACACCTAGTGGCAGCTAAAGATGCCCAGAGGCAGCTTACGGCAGAGGTAACTTCCACATCAATGCCCTGCCCCAGATACCAGGCTGTTCAACTTTAATTTGAAAAGTTAATTTTAATGTCCACAATGAACAGCTCCAGGAGTTGGAGGAGAAGTATTCAGAGTGCATAGAGATGCTGCATGAAGCCCAAGAGGAGCTGAAGAACCTGAGGAACAGAAACTACCCAGCAGGAACCCCTCGACGTTGCCATCCCCTGGGACTGTACCCCATGGTGAGAGAGTGTGTGTCTGTGTGTGTGTGTGTGTGGGTGTGTACATGATTATTATCATCCGTTCCTTCATGAGTTTTTGTGTTGCAGGATTCTCTGGCAGCCGAGATTGAGGGAACAATGAGGAAGGAGTTGAGTATGGATGACCCAGAGAGCGAGGAACAGAAGTATGTATGGATTAACAGTCAGGCTACTGTATGTTATTTATTTTACAAGGACCAGACTTTGTCACGTTTGCTTTTTGGAAGAGTTAGGAATAACTGGAATTCAGAAAATATCAGTTGAATTCTACTGATTTCCATTAAGGTTTTCTCATGGTTCTAGGGATGGCAATGTCAGTCAGCACTTTGGTGACTGAAATATCTCAACCTCAACTGTTGGATGAATTTGCCATGCATTTTTGTATATTCAAAGTTACATTCAACTATAAATTCTAATAACTTTGGGCAGAGTTTTAATTATCAAGTGAAGTATCTCAACATTTACTAGATGGATTGGCAAATTCTGCTCATCGATGTATAACTTTGGTAGTCCACTGACTGATCTATTGCCACAATGAGGTTGGATGTACTGCCATGAAATTTGAGTAGGAACTAGAGGGCACACTGACTTTATGACACAACACAACCCCTGAGATAACTTTCTGGATTCACGTACTTTAACCCAAACCATGATTTTTTTCCTCAACCAGATAGCTTAGTGCCTAAACCTAAAAAGCTCCAACCATTTTGTGGGCTCTAGTGAAATTTGGTATTTATTTATTCATCGGTTGTCAAGCCACTTATGATTGTTACGTACTTATACAGAGTACTTATATGTATCTTATATAGGGAGCTACTGGATGGCTTGGATAGTTTGCAGGTGGAAAGTCAGCCAGGCTAACTAGCTAATCTAGAAAGTGTTCTATACAAAATGGATGTTTATTTGGCTCTGTTCACTGATTTGCCTACAAAACAACTCGGACCCCAAGGAACGTCAGTCATTTTAATCTGGAAAAACTAAATGTATAGAAATAAAACACTAACTACAGTATATTTTTGTGTGTGGTTGTCTGCAGAAGCCATCGGAAGCGTGTGTTTGAGACCGTTAAGAACGTCAACCAGACAGTCCGTCAGCGTTCTCTGACTCCAACCAATGCCAACATCCCAGGCTCCAACCAGTCTCTGTCAGCTCGTACATCGCCACAGTCCAGCGGTCTCTCCACACCTCACTCCAGCATGTATGGAGGCGACATCAGCGGAGACAGTATGGCCCTTGACAACCGAACACAGAGCATCCTGATGGAGACTGCGTCCAATCAGGATAGGTGAGGAGAAGCAGGTGTATACAATGAATACATTAATGAGGACATTGAGACTGAGGACAGCTTTTAGACGCTCACATGAATCTGAGAGTGAAGAGGTACCTTTAAAATGTTTTGTTTCTTGAGTTGAGCATTGAGGATTAGTTGAATGTTAGTACACTTAAACGTGCTTCAACAAGTTGACATGATTTTCTCAAGATTCCTTGAAATGACAAACATTCTTATCTTATCTGTGCTCTGGCAGCAGCACAGAAGGCCGAGAAAAGAAGGCCAGTGGAGCTGAGGACCTGCGGCTCGCCCTGCGACGCCTGTCTCTGCGTCGACAAAACAACCTGAGCGAGAGGCGCTTCTTTGAAGAGGAGAGGGATCGGAGACGAGGAGGACATGGAGGTCTATCTGTAGCCCTGGGCCAGGAGCATGTGATGACTCCCTCAGAAAGCATCATGTCTCTTGGGAACCTCCACATTTGGGCCACACGAGGGCCTTACCTCCCTGACAAACTCCAGATCGTCAAACCGCTTGAAGGTGAGGGAGAAAGGGAGAAAGGGATGAGCTGCAAGGTGGGGAGGAAGTGGGAAGGCGACCGACACCGAGGGGTCGGGACAAAGAAAGGGAGCAAACGGGGCTGGGGGACGGAGGGGGAGAGGAGTCGGCATGGGCGAATGCTCGAGGGAGAAAAGGAAAGAGGTTGGGAATGGGCTAGGAAGACTGGAGCTGGGATAGAGAGGGAGAGAGGAAGGAGGTGGGCCAGGGACCGAGCCGGGAGCAGGAAGATGAAGGGAGCAATAGAGAGGAATGAGAGGCCTCTGTCACTAATGCTCTTCAACTCTTTCTGGTCTCTGATGCACCACCACAAGTCAGGCAGTTTTGCATCTCCGCACAGTTATTACAAAGACACACAGCCGAGAGGATGGTTGTAGACAGATACCAGTTGTGATTAAACAGAGGAAGAAATGGGGGATGACATTTTGGTTCATGCTCTGCATCCAAATCACCCACTGCTGTTCTCTAACTGATTCTTCTGGGATAACGGAAAACAGACTCAATATTGAGATGTAATGTAGAAGTGTGAACCCAGAGAGAGTCACAGCAGCGTTTTGTTATTATTCCCCCTGTGATTCAGTGTTGATTTAAGCTTAAAGGTGGCTGCTGTTGGCCTGTGCTGCCCTCTGCTGGTAAATATCCATGCTTCATTGACTACTGTTAGTCTAACATCTCCATGATATAGAAACCCTGCCATTGCTTCTGTTTACATACATTTGTTTATTTGTATTCACACCTTTTCGTTTCTTATATGTATCACTTTCTCTTTATGTGTTTCTTTACAATTTGCTATTTATTTATGATTTTCGTCTCTTCATTCTGTCTCTGCTTGCTATCTCTGTTTCAAATTCATGTAGCTGACTAATAAAAAGCTTTCCTCATTCTAATTGCTCCTCCATTTCATTTTCCTTATTCCTCTCGCTCTGCATCACCTTTTACTGTCTTTATATACTCCATCTTTGTTTGTCACTGAGGCTTATTGTGTCATATTTCTCACCTTGCTTTGTCATGGATATGCTTATTAGACAGACTTATAACAAATGTAGTTATTAAATGAAATGAATCACTAAATATATACTTTTATTGGTTACTTCTCATGCTTTTGCCACATAATCTGCAGTTTTGTTTTCGCCCATATGTTCGGACTGTTTGTGATATATATGTGCGATCTGCTTTATTACAGTAGAGTAATAATCAAATAGAAAAACCTACTAAGCATTTTACTGAAACCACAGGACGCAGCCGACTGTTTCTGAAGCATTTCAGGAAATCAAGAACATTAAATGTCTGGTGACCATAAAAGAACCATCTATATGTTAAGTATCAAGTTATAAATAATGCTTCAAGCGTTTATCGGTTTGTTTGAAGAGACTGAGTGTATTGTAGTTCTATTAATTTCTCTCCACCAGGCTCTGCCACTCTGCATCACTGGCAGCAGTTAGCTCAGCCTCACCTCGGTGTGATTCTGGACGCCAGGCCAGGAGTTGTGCCAAAGGGCTACAGACCCCTCGAACTAGAGCTGGAGCAGGTCTGTGTGTGTCTGTATGTGTGTGTGTGATAGAGAGAGAGAGAGAGAGAGAGTCCACATTAACAGTATGGTCATACTCATGCAAATGCATCTTTGTATTTGGTTTATTATGCAACATGTTGACAGATTAACACTGCTTTAATTGTACAGGGAGTCAAATCCCACTTAAGTGCAGGACTAATGAAACCAGATTGCAGTGATGTACAGTAAAATGCTCCTTCTTCTTCATAATGTCAAAGTCCATCTCCCTTAAACTTTTCTGCTGTTTCTCCTCTCAGTTAGTTCAGTGGGAGAAGACAGTGCTGAATAAACTACCAAAACAATTTAGGAAATTTTCTTGGATCTGTTTGGTATCATTGAATTTTTATTTTGATATTTAAAAGAAGGGATAAATAACAAAAACCTTGTGTTTATATAGTATGACTTAACTAGTTACTTATCCTTCTCTTAGTAACAGTTAATATTACTAAAAGTAATTGTTGTAACACCAGTGCACATGTATGCATCTGCAATGATCTGGTCTCTTCTTCTCTCTGTGCTGCGTTGTCTACAGGTATACCCATGGGGAAGCTTTGAGGAGGATGAACCAGGGGAACAATACTTCCAGAATCTTCCCACCTCCTCGGCCTCTGCCTCACCAGCTGTGCCCTCCACCTCCAGCACCGCTGACACCAACATCGCTCAGCCTCCACCCACCCTCGCTCCACCTTCTCCACCCTCTCCATCTCCATCGCCACATCTTAGCAACACTGACATCCTGGGTGAGGAGATACTGTACATTTTTACATACTGTAGACTTTTTGCTCGTAAAACACCTGCGGGGTATCGAACTTACCTTTTTTAATGACTGTTAATGTTCATTTTAATGACTGTGTTTGTGTGACTTGCAGCTGCATACTACCCAGGTAAATGCATGGCCCACACCAGTTCTACCTACACCTTCACAACCTGTCGAATCCTCCACCCGACTGATGAGTTGACGCGAGTCACACCAAGGTAAGCGACATAAATAGTCTGGCGCTGCTTGAAAGTTTATGATCAAGATCAACTTTCTGTTCCCCTTTGATTGTATGAAAGTTTCTCTTTGATCTGCCAGACTTTACTCATAATCAACTACTGCAAAGTTTAGTTTATTCGCTAAAAGCAGCCTTATTCAAACATATGCCTTATTGCAAAAGTCCTAATGAAGTAATGAGTTTTTGTAAGAACTGAAATTTGCCTCCTAAAGATGCACATTTCCCCTGTCTTGAATGCTGCATGCTTTTAACATATAAACATAAATGCCAAATTAAACATTTGATGAAGCTTAATGTGATAATGATGTGGAGGCGCTTTGAGAATCCCACAGTGTTCACTCAGTCTGAAATGGACTAAATCCCAGAGGACAAATAAGATCCAAACAGCAGTCGTTGAGGTGGGATCGTGTCCAAGCAACAATATTCAGTCGTCTGCTAGACAGTAGAAAGGTGCTAAATAATACATGCAGGTGCTTATGGTTCACAGGAACAACATCCCCTGTGCCAGTTAGTGTTGCTCTATTGCAATGATGAGATATCACAAAAGTACAATTTAAGTATCCTCTTTTCAGTGTTTCTAATTCTTTCTGTTCTTTCGTCGTGTTTGCTTTTCTTTCTCCAGTCTAAACCCAGCCCCGGCATCGTCCTCCTGTGTGATGACAAGCACTCTGTTGGGTACTCCTGCTGCTACACCGTGCACGCCCCGCAGGCTCAGTCTCAGGCCATCTGAATCCTCAACAAACCTCAGGCACGGTTTCAAATACACCGGAAAACTACTTTTTGTTTTCTAAAAATAAAAGTATATTTCTTGCTACTGTAGGAAACAAAACTTTGTGTCTTTGTTAGTGAGTTTGCAGTTTATTCAGCTGTCATCGTTATCACACTGAGTTTGTCATAGTTTCCTTAAAATAAGACATGCATGTTAACTTGTTCCTTGCTAGTTTCACTTGTATCAGCACTGATACAACAATGATTTTACAGAATTACCAATCAGTATGAAGTTGACTCTCATTTGTTTCCCATGTTTGTGCAGAGATGCAACACGCACCACCAGCACCTCCCTGGGGTTAGTGCGCCTTCTCCAGGAGAGAGGGATCTCTGCAGCGATGTATCACCAGAGCCAGGGCCTGGAGTATGGTCAGGGCATTGGAGGAGTCTTATTCAGCACCTCCATTGCCCCTAACCGAGTGCCCAACCCCGACCCTCTGCGCCCCTCTACCCCTCCCAACTCACCCACAGGACAGGGAGCTTCTGCTGTGCCAACCCCCGTGGGCTTCGACTTCAAGAGCCCTTCCTACGACAACTTCCTGGCCTCCAAACCAGCCCGCTCCATTCTGAAAGAGGTGACTGGGAGAATGAGGGGCAGGCAGAGAGGGAGGGACTGCGAAAGCCAGACGGACGTTAGCGTGACCGTCCACAACCTCAACCTGCTGGACAAGGTGAAGCGGCTAGGTGTGGCTGGAGCTCCAGGGGCCAGAGCAGTAAGTCCCAGCCCGATCCTGGGGCCTCTGGGTGGGCTGCGCAGATCCGGCTCCCCTTTTGGGCCCGATGGAATGAGGAGGAACCGGAGTTATCCAGCCATGGTTGGAGCTAGCATGGCCATGAAAGCCCCGGGGCCCCAGGAGTAGTCTGTACTGCTGCTGGCTGTTAGCCATGTAGGAGCCAGGCTGGGCCAAGGACCGACTGTTGAGCAGTCACCTGGAGCCCAAAACACTGACTGTTCATACTGTACGACAACAACATGGCACTACTGACCACTTTCTAATCACTACTGTGGTTCCACACAGACCCTATCCATTCTTCAGTGCTTTCAGTTGGTGACTCATGCTTGAATTAAAATCAAAATAAGTTAGGGTTAAGGGTTGGTTCATCCAAAATACAACAACCTCTTCTGGTATGTAGATAGTTTTGGTTTTATGTGCCCATATTATGAGATGTTGCTGAAATGTCTCATGTCTCAATACAATGAAGGTGAAAGGAATTTCATTTCAAAGCACTGAACAATTACAATAAAAAACTTGTTTTTCCAGAAAATGTTCCTGTTACTCTGGATAATCCACGGACCTCACTGTGAACAGTTTTCGTTACTTCCTACCAATTAAAAGAAAACTTCATCAACATCATTTTGGAAAATGTGCTTTTTTGGCTTCTTTCTGGGAGTTAGATGAGAGGATTTATAACACTCTCATGTTTGGCGTTAAGTATGAAGCTGGAACCAGGAAGTGATTCACCTAGTTTAAAGACAATAAGAAATAAGGAAGTTCAAAAATACATCAAACAGAAATGTAAAAGTTTCTACTTGTGGTGTTAGATGGAGTTAAATGGTATCTGTACTTGATGAGCAACACTTTATCGTCCGGGCTGTGTTCAGAAATAGTTCCAACAACTCCCCCTGAACCCCAATTTTTACTGTATGTCTGTTTGTGTATGTATTAAAAACATGTTGTTAGTGAGCTTTGGAGGTGCTGATAGGTAGATTTTTTTTTAACTTAAGATAAAGGCAGGCTAGCTGTTTCCCTTGTTTCACCCTAAATATATACTAAGCTAAGCTAGTTGCCTGCTGGCTCTAGCTCCATACTTAATGCAAAGACATAATAGTATAAATCATCTAAAACTCACGAAAAGTAAGCATAATAGTGTATTTCCCAAATTGTCACATTAGTCCTTTGAAAAAGTCGAATTAAAAAACGTTTTACAGTTTGTTCTGTGGACTCTCCAGAGTAAGGGCATGGGCACACATTTGTAAATTTATTCTCATGGTGACCTAGACCACCTATTTGGTACTGACATCCATGTCCCCTTTAGGATGAATTGTAATATGTTTGGTGATCATCAGGTCTGAATTTTAGTTACTTAGTTTAGTCTAATACACTAAACTAAGATGATGAACATGTACCAGCTAAACAATCAGCATCTTTATTGTCATTTTAAGCACCTTGCTTTTAGCATTTAGCTCAAAGCACCACTCACAGAGCCTCTATAGACTTTTGTCTGGTTATTTTTACCCAGATATGTAAAATCTGGGCACATAAAACCAATTTTATGTAATTTGATCTTATGTAATTGGGTGAACTGACCCACTCAAAGCAGAATATCTTGAAAGAGAGCTACTGAGATATCTGTCTGCTCCCACTGCTGTCCACTCACATCCCTGCTTTGGAGACTGACTCTGCTGGCTAGATATAGTACTCCCACTCTCGCCTTTTCTGAAACACATCCACAAAATCCCACACACATCCAGACATACACCGATGCACTCTGTTACATCTGCCATTGCACTAGTTGTACTACTAGTAGCTGTAGTACTAAACCATGCCTTTCTTAATCTCTATTATTGGATTAAGATCCACCTTTTTATAAATGATTATAAAATTTACACCAAATACATGAAAATATGTCATCCTTGCCGTAGCGCTCTCTACCCTCAGTCATACGCCTACCTAAATGAGTATCTGTGAGTCTGACAAGTCACTTTGAACAAATCACTGAATAGATTTTTTTGTCAGTATTAAAGATACTTTGGTTTAGTTTTCTAATTGGCCATTAGACAGGGAAGTTGATGGTGCTTCCATTGATTGGACGATCAATAGGCTGAAGCCACAGCTCACAAAGAGTGAGAGAGGGATAAGGGAAGTGATTGTGGCTAATCAGCCGTCATGGCCAGAATCTTTTGGAGAAATGAAGCAATATAGTGCCTCGAACATCTGTTTTTGATGATTTATGTTCTTTATGTGTTGGATTGTGAAAGAGCTGCCAGGGCCGTCATTGCACTTGTGTTTATTTATTTTTTTAAAATCCTTTTAATTTGTGGTCATAGAAATGATGTTGTCTCACATGTGCTCACTGTATATACTGTTCATTGTCACTAGATTGTAAGTAATGACACACTTATAAAGGAACTGTTATGTGTAGTGCATAACCAAGAACCACACATCACTGTAAGTATTGAGGTGAGCATGTAATGAGGGTTTTTTTTCCAAATAAAAGTTCAGTAATCAAACAATAACTTCCCCTCTGTGTGTTTTCCCTCTTTAAATTAGATCATGACTCTTTCAAGACCCAGACATGAAATCAGTATTTACCCTCCTCCAGCAGATGGTGCTCACGAATAACTCAGCCCACAAAATAGTCAGTATGTGAAGTGCATTGCATTTATCTGTCTGTCCACATAGGCCGGTCATAATCCATTAACCATTCACCATCTGTATCTCTTGTGCTATGAGAGATATGATGAGGGCAGCTTATTAAACCTCCATTAGCCACAGGGTGAACAAGAGGTGAGCAATAACCCAAAAATGCCACTCTGGCAGCCGGGGAGTCTAATTGAAAGAAATGAAATCTGTCTCAAATGTCACAGATGTCTCTCATTGTGGATATTTGTCCCCTTTAGAATAACATTTTGTTAATCGTATTTATCAAAACATCAAATCAACTGCCTCCTGAGGCGAAAGAGAAAGTCCAACATCAGTTACAAATATCCTCTTCTGAGCACAGAAATCGCATACAGTACGGCAGTGTCTCCAATCGTATTGTCTGATGTACCCCGGTAGGTTAGTAATGGCAGACTGACGTTAGCATTTAGCTCAAAGCACCACTGTGCCTGAATACAGCCTGACAGAACATAGAGCGCTAGCATGGCTGTAGAGTTGTTTCAGTGGCTCAGTCACGTTTGCATTCGTACTAACGGTTGGAGTAGCATGTCAACCATTTCTCTTTAGCTATGTATTTCCACTTTTCTGCTCATTTGCTAACAAGTTTTCAAGAATTCTCAGTCACAGCACATTTTACAACTCTCATCTAACTCTCTGCAAAAAAGTGTATAAGCGTAATTCTCACAATGACAAACTATTTCTTTAAAGTTCAAAATGCGTAGTGATGTTTCCTACATCTATATGTGTGTTATGTGCTTATGGTTGCTAGTTGCATTTACAATCAGGAACTCTCTTTCCCTGCTTTTACCATGCGTTCTTCTGTTTTAGATGCCAGTAAAATGCCTTTGAATTGACTGAAGCTGATCTGAAGTTAAAGAATGGAAATTCTGGAGACAGACGGGACAGAGAATGAAAGGCGGTGCATCGAGCCAGTTTCATAGATGGTCCAGGAAGAGCTCAGACCATCTGCTCGTTACCGTTGCTGGATCTTCATTACAGCCATGCTCTTGGAGCTCATGTTCTTTTCAAGAGTGTGTGGCTTGGCTTTGCCCATTAGCACAGAAACAGAGCACTTATGCATATATGAGTGCTCCAATCACTCCGTGTAAGACGTTGTCGGCGACGCATGCTTTCGCCTTTTGACCTTTTTTGTATCATTTGCACTCGTAGCAGATATCCACATTCACACACATACACACATCTGCTGGTAAACACACACACACACACACACACACACACACACACACACACACACACACACACACACACACCAGATATTTACTAGCAATCCCACTGCAGCCTTTAAACCTTTCCAGAGCCTTTAACTCCAAAGTTTTCTGCCTCAGCTCTTTAAACAGAAAGTTTCAGTCAATTCCCATGGTCCTATCAGAATCTCAAGTCTCTGTTTCTGATTCAAGTACGACCTCAGTCCGAGCCAGCGGCTTCACTGCCCAACACACACACACACAGACACACACACACACACACACACACACACACACACAAACACACACACACACACAACACACACACAAACACGGTAAACCCTCTCTTCCCCCAACATCCAAAACCACTTCTCTGAATAATTCACCGAGCCTGCTTTGTTCATCGATCCCTCTCTCCACCTCTCACTCATACAGACACATCTTTCACTTAACACACGGGGCCAGGAGCAGCATAATGGGCTCCTTCATCACAATTCAGCACCACTATGGATTCCTCCCCTTTCCTTTACTAATGCCTCCAACAGGTTGAACCTAGCACCCTGTCTGCTAGCCTTTGTCACAGTTGTTTTCAGGATGATCGTAACAAAGAGAATTTAAATGTTAAGTGAGCTCTAACAATAAGTGTCCATACCACGTCATCAAATCTCTTTTACTGCCTAAAGATGTTTAATCACAAATGTTCTCATAACATCAAAACATACTAGGCTCTCCTAAACTGTTATTGTCTCTCTAGTGGAGCCAAAAGCAATTATTATGGTTTATTATGAGCCTGCTTTAATAATTCAATCAATATCCGTTTCTCCAAACACTTCAAACTGTTTCAATATTTAGCACAGATGTTAAAGCTCATAATGATCTTCTTCATTCTTTTGAAGATATTCTCGGTCATTCCCCGGCACGCTTCCTGAATGATGCATTCACAGACTTTCATCTCCTTTGTGGAGCTACACACTGACCCTTTTTCTCAGCATCAGACATCTCTGCCTTAACATTCATCATAGTCTAAAACCAGCATCATTACCCATAATCCACCATGGGTTTCTGATGTGCAGGAGTTTGCTTTCATCATTTATCAGCAAAGACACTGACTTTTGACACTGGAAAAAGAATTATTTGAAATCATTTTGTTAGTTTAGATATTAGCAATAATACACAGGTGCCTTGATTATGCAATATATGTAACACACCTCTATTTATTTGTATGTTTTTAATTCAACATATTTGACTTATTACACTAAACATTTGATATTAAAAAAATCAACTGGGCAGAGGACAAGAAGTGGATGGCAGGTCCCATGGGATACTCATGGATCTGCATGCACACTGAGGTCATATCTTTCATGGTGATCTCTACAAAACACATATTTGAGAAAAAAATCTAACAATTTTAGTCATTTAAATAAGTAAAAAAAAAAAAAACTATTACTAGTATCAATAACTTTGCAGATAGCATCCAAATGAGAACAAAAACATTCTTTCACCAACAGATCCCCATTTCAAGATAGTCCCTTTAATAATACCTTCTAAATATCTGGAGGGATATAGTCTGTGGTAACAGATGAAACATTTCTTCATAGCATAAGATGGCAGTGGCATGAGTTTGAACAAGTTTAAATTTTAATTTAATTCTAGAGAGGGAAATGGCAAATCTTCTGATGGAGGACCCAGCAGCAAAAAAAGCACATCAACTATGATTATTTTAGATTTACGTCACAATACCACACTTTTCTATACAGTGCCGAAGCTTGGAAACGTGTCCACAGTGATGAAAGATGAAACACGGGGGTGATAAACTGTGGTCCATCTTATTCCAAACCGAGGGAGTCACGTAAAATATGTGAATTAATTTTGTATTGACTGTGCCTCAGTCTATTGCATCTAAAACCAATCAACAATCTCTTTCCAGTCATACTCTGTGTACTCGTAAACCTATTCTGTGTTGGGATCTTATTTAGTTGGTGGAGTGTAGAAATAAAGAAAGGGAAGAAATGAAATGAGACAGAATAGACATGTGACGCTGATTTTGAAAGGTAATATATGACAAATGATTTAGTCAAGTGTTTAAGTTTTTATATTATATCCTTTTATTTAGAAGGCCCTTGCCCTCATAAACTATCACCAAAAAAGACTCGTAGAGTGTGTGTGCTTATTCATATGTTATGAGTTTTACATGCTCACACTGTCATCCGCTTTTGATGTTATTGTTCACAACATAACATTGCAACAGAGATGCATAAAAATCTGAGATTATGTTTGCAGCAGTAATGAGGTGTCACAGACAATCTTGTTTTGTGACACACTGTATCAATGCACCCAATGAATGTTAATGGGTCCAATTTAAGCAGCATGCATTGTATTAGAAGAATTCATATGCAGGGAGTGATATTTTCAATCTTTATTCAGTCCAGTTAGTCTCAACAGACCCTGATACCATCCCACCCCTTTCCACCCAAAATGATAAAGAAACCAGAGAAAACCAGAAACAAACAAATCTTGGACAGTGAGAGCTTTTCTGCAAAATTTGGCATATGTATATTGCATTATTACAGTCTTACAAACAAATGTACAACAAATACATCATAAATAGACTCTTATTGTGAGACAGTGAGGAGCCAGCTTGCGTGGAGTTTTTTTTTTTTTTTTTCTTCTTTTTCCTCGTGTGCCCGTACGTAGGGGTATGACTTCCCTTTATGAGGAGTACTCATACTCCTCTGCACTGCGACGGCCGAAATCCATCCACCCCAAGTAGTCCCTGTCTGCTATCCGGTGGTTGGCACTCAGTCCTCTGCTGTTAGCCGTGGAGTTTCTGCGCACAGAACCTGGGAGGAGAAGTGGGGAGGACGAGGAGGGGTGGAGGTGACAGAAAGAGTGGGTGGAGGAGAAACAGAGCAGGGGGGAAATGAGTGTTCCTTGGAGTAAGGAGGATAAAAACTTCACTGATTGTGGTCCTACTTTTTGTGTGTTTATGCCAGAGAAAGCATGTTTGAAATGCTCTTGATTGTGGAAGTGAGGTGCGAGCAAACATGGTGCAAAAACACAGTGAAGGTGACTTTAATCAGATTCATTCTGTAAAACACTGACAGAACTGATAGGATTTATTTAGTGTTTTTTAATAATCAAAAGATCATAGTTCAGTTGGAATAATTATATCTGGTTAAATGTGGCAGTTTTTGGGTGAGATTGGACACAAACGATGCTCTCATAAAACCCAGCAGTTAATAGTCTTTGTGCGCTAAAATGTATTTTCAGTGATTTATGCTTTTAATAAAAAAAATGTCACTTTTACAAGTTTTTTGGCGGGTCAAATTTTATGCCCTCAGATGGCAGTTTAGCAGTTAGTTCAGTTCATTACATAATTACGGAGAAAGAAGTGTTTGCCATATTTGACGACTGATTATGTTTGGTCTATGTGACTATTTGGATTTTAAGTTCTCTTCTTTAGATTTGTGTTGTTTTTTTGCTGTGAAGCTGGTTTGCTTTTGGACATTTTAACTGTCTCTCTCGCTCATTATTTTTCTCCCTCATTCACACATTCACACACACACACACACACACACACACACACACACACACACACACACACACACACACACACACACACACACACACACACACACACACACACACAC